TTCGAGAAAAAATGCCAAAAAATCAATTCATTAAGAATATTGAATTTTGGCATTTTTTCAATAAATCATAGCCTCCAAAGGAACAGCTCGATCAGCGCGAATTTGCTCATATAGAAAGAGAGGATAGGATCAGAAAAGCTAGGATACTTCTAATTTGGCTGTTTTGGATTTCATGGCACGGTTTTGGATTTTTTAACGGGCTTGCTTAAAAATTCCAAAACTGAAGCAATTTACTTTTCTCAATTTGATCTCTGCGCTGCGAGCTTGATAGATAGCAGCCAAGGTTGATTTAGAAAGTGCATGAATTGCTCTTTCCAAGGGATTTTTAGTCATGCAAAATTATTGTGATAGGAAGAAGTTGTGATTTTTTTTTAAATGGTGGGACAAAACTTTCGGACCAACCTAATAACAAATCAATTAATTTCGGCGAATTTTTTTAGTATACTCAAAATTCTGACTTTTCACAGAGAATTTCAAACAGCACAAACTTTTCACAGCTGCAAAGAGTACGTCCTAAAACTTGTGTACTGAATGTTTCGGATTTTTCTGCAACGTTTCAGATTCTTGGCGGCCTACTTGAAACGCTCGAAGCTTGAACGGTCTTCTTCATCCAAATTTATCTCTGCTCCCAGTGTTTGAAAGAAACTTTAAAATAGTACTACAAGGTAAAAGCTTTCTTCTTTCTAATAAAGTTAGGGTGAAGCAAATTTGTCCAGATAGCGAGAAGTTACGAGTTTCTGGAAATAAAATGACAAAACTTTCGGACCAACATAATATTTAGAAAATCTCGAAGCTTTTCTTAGCTGCGGTATAAAGTGTATTACAATTCCCTGCACTCTGTTCAGAGCGCAATACAATAATTTTAGCTTTTCTCAATAATCTTCTGCAGGGGAAAAAAATTAAGAGTCAACAAAGGCGTTATGATTCAGACGAAATAGGATTCAGCCGCCGAACATCTGCGCTGAATCACAGCAAGGAGCGGCAATGCTAAGAACGAAGTGATGATTCCGTTATCGAAAGACGTTTCAACGGTTGCCGCCGACATTCTTCGCAATTTTTCTTCGAAATAACCCTTTTTAGGCAAAACAAGGTGTCATGGTCCCGTTTTAAAAAAAATTCCCAGACAGTCCCTGACACAGGGAGTCCCCGTTCTTTCGTTTCGGCCACAGATCACCTGCTCCAGCACTTCATTTGGACATTCGAACTGGTGTAATCAATGCCCCGACAGCGACACAATCAGTACTGATATCGATCATATTGCGAGCATGTGAAAGCGGAATTAATGCTAAAAGCAATCGCTCTCGCTTTCCCCGATCTGCTCTGTTTCTGTGTATGCGTTGTGTGCATGTTTTAACGGCGTCGAAGCGATTTTACATGAATTTTTACGAGAAAAAGGTGTCGCCGATGTCGGTGTTTACTGATTGGTTCGATTCTCACTTTGCCAATGTAATCATTATGCTGTCGCTTCATATAGCTGCACTTTCACATATCAAATTTCTTCTTTGACAAAACTAAATCTTGGCCTAGTTGTAATCTTCTCGTTGGTTATTTGAGCTAGTTCAAAATTGATGCAGATCTTTATGGCAAGATACAGAATGTTTGTAAAAAAATGTGTATCTGTGTTTCAGAGAGCTGTACCAACTTGGTCTACCCTAAAACAACAACGAAATCTTAGGTTCTATCAACTTTACTGCTTTTTCTCAACCTTCCTATGCTTCCTTGACTTTGATAAGATTTGCTGATGTCTCGTTTCTAATGACAAAATTGCCTTGCAACTTCGTTTTTTTCTTTTCAAGCATCTGCCAACATCATTTTCTCAATTTCGCAAATCACATGACCTAGACTCAATCACTAAAACTTTTTGCTTTCCTTTAACGTCTTGCTCAGAAATGTCCACTTTATTCTTCCAAGCATATCTCTTTCGCAGTTGTTTTAGCTTTGCCATACGACAGCATTGCATAGAATCATTTCAACATCTTAAAGAAATTATTTTTACCATTGAGTCGTGTTCAAGTATACCAAAACCCTTAAGAACTTTATGTTTTCAAAACAGCACCATTGCGCTTATCGGATTGTACTAACACGTACTCGTTGAGTACCACTATTTCTTATTCATCTGACAGCATCTTATCTGAGACATTATGGCTAGCAAAGGAGAGCAAAGGGAACAAGCACTTTACTGGACACTAAAAACGCGTTAGTGAAAAATTGTTACATACGAAAGTTTCTTTTATAAAAAATGATTTCTTTTAGAAGCAGGTTTTGATTTTTCAGGTTTGCGCTCAGCAGACTCACTTCACAGTAAGATGAGATTTAGAACGGTTTATAAAATTTTTTTTCCTAGAAATCTTTGCAAATGAAGATAGTGTTTTCAATATAAAAACCTTTTAGAGAAACTTTGCATTCCACAGAAAATTTCAGTTTGGAATATAAGTCTTGCACCAAATCTAAAACTTCGTATTTTTTTTCCAGGTTCAACGAACCTGTTTGAAATAATATAATTAGCGAGAGAGAAATTTAAACTTTCTAAGTGTTTTTGAATCAAGAATCACTACTGTCATGTAGCGGTAACAGAACCTGTTGGACACTCAAATCTTTCCAACTTTCAATCCCCAAATATGCTGAAAAGCACAGAAATTTCTAAATTTATTTTTTATTTGAGTTTCATGATCTACGCTTTTTAACTAGTTGAATTTGTGCTAATAGGACAACTCTCTTACAACTTGTAATTTGCGAATTTTTGTTTCAAAGTTGAAAAGAAAACTTCAATCTATACGATAAAATAGTGCCTAAATCATAAGCAATTGAAAAGTACCATACAGTTGAAACGCTGCTCTGAGCATCTAATAAATTTTTTGGAATTTTTGGTGCAAGACTTATGCTTTAATTTAACAAAAAACGTATTTTTTTCAGTTTGCTCTAGATAACTGTAACAGCAGCATAAACACTGCCACCTTTTTTATTTATTTTCGCGCTCCGCTACGGCTGTTGCAAATGCTTTCCCCAAAAGCAGCCGTGGTTACACTCTGTCTGTCAAAAACACTTCGAAACATTCGGAAAAGAGACAAATACTCCGACCTTTGTCACTTTTTTCCACTTGTCGTCGTGGGAGACTTGTCAAAGATCGCTAATATGGCCATTACCAGTGACTTCTCATGTTTCGCCCCGTGCAGTCTCCTCACGGGGGGTTTTTGTGCTATCTCGCTCTCTGTTGCCGCCAAGAGACCATTTGTTCTATTGCTCCCTACGGACCACATTTCTTGTGTGTATATGTTATGCTAATGTCTCTCTATGCTTGCCTTTCATAGCTTTAGCTTGAGGGCATTTTCGAAATCATCTTCTCGCAGTGATAGCCGCTCTCGAAATGCTTTTTCTCATAGTTTCAAGAATTGTCAAGAACTGAATTCAATGTCCAAACGTTTTTCCCTAGCTCCTATCTTATTGTTCAGATTGTCCAGCAGTTGAACAGGCTGTCTTTTTTTATTGTGCAATAGAAACCAATGTTTATATAAAGTGCAAAGTGAATGCAAGGGAAGTAAGCTATAGCTTGTCTTCTGGACAATTCCTTTCCGCTCGTTTTTGTGACTATACGAATATTTAGCGATTGCTTAAACAGAAGGCTTGCACTTTTTGCGAAATATGAGATTTGGCAAGTAGCCAAAATTTTTCTTATTGTAAAAAGCTGCACGCCAAGAATTCAGTATGAGTTCAAAACAAGTTTTGTGAAGGACATTTAATCACGCTATGTTGGTGATGAATTGTGAGAAAGCGTACAAGTACTGTCTAAAAGACGGCTACTGATTCAGAAGATCATTTTATGCTAGATTACGAATTTTATTGCAATTATTAGATATTTCTCGCCTAAATTTTAAAGTCATGTTGACGCATTTGCAGAAATGAAGTCCACTTTTGCCTTCGAAGCTTATCTCTAATAGCAAATATGATTAACATTTGTCTTGATAATTTCTCTGATGACTAGTAGAAACCACTTTTTAAGTGCAAAACTGGTTATAGAATAAACTTGAAAGCAAGCTTACCACTAGAAATTCATCTGAGAGAAATATTTCCGAAAAATAGGTTTAAATTTATTAAATTTATTGAGATACAGAGCTTGGGTTCATCGTGTAAAGCTCAGAGGAGGCTTAACCAATTCCTGTTGCCATAGAAACCATAATCGAGCGCTTCATAAAATTTGTTTGCCATAGCTGGATATGACTTTTTTCGTTTCTGTTAATTCTTGAAAGTACATGTATCATATTATATCGTGAGAAATTGCTAAGAAGAATAGTATCGAAAAGTAATAAGCCTATAGTTTTTGCAAAAAATTGTGAATAGTGCATAGAATGGATATTTTTTTACCTGAAAGAACAATATGTTCCTCGCAGTATTCTAAATTGAAATTTTTTATATTTCTTCCAAATTCAAAATAATGCTGTCCAACATAAGTTATATGGCGCTGGAAGCGCTTCTCTAAGAAACGTTATCAAAATCGCAAACGCATGATTCAATTTGCACTTTCGCCGTAGCTCATTTCACAAATAATAAGAAATCTTCTTTAGAAAATAATCTGGAAAAATAGGTTCGATCATGATCAATCCTTACTCTATTTTCGAAACAAAGGACCTTAAATTTTCATACATCGATTCGTCAATTGCGGTCATTATAATAATCAGTCATTCTGATTAATTCGTATATTTTGACCAATCGATAATTTTAGAAAATACAAATTTTTTGGCATAGACATGTCAAACCTTAGCACTATTCCTTGATAATATCCTTGGTTCTTTAGTAATTTCAGGGCTCTGCAAACCTTATTCATTTTTTTACTGATTTTTATAGCATTTTCGCAGCCATCTATGCCACAAAAGAGTGGAAAAATTATTATATTGAATATATTAGGACTTGCATCTCGTTCACAACAATCGTAGCGTCGACGATTTTGAATTTCAACGAAATGACCGTGCAAGTGTACAAGGTTCTTTACAACTTTTTTCTTTTAGCCTCTACTCTCTCGCCGATCGTTGCCGGTTGTCGCACTCCCGAGAGGGAGCTGTTCTGCGTTTGTCCCTCGTTCCCGCCACAACTACCGCCATCGTTTACCGCGTTCCGCAAACGCGGAACAACACTTTCCGCGATGAGTACGACCACAAGCGCGCCCACGGAAAATCCCATCCAGAATAATACAGATGGGAATGGGTTGTCTGGTGGTGCAATTGCAGCCATTATTATTGGAGTAATAGTGAGTTTAGTCAGTAATAAAAAAAATGATGGACTTTCACCTTTATCGAAATTGCTTAATCAAGATCTTTTACTCTATCAAATGGTAATAGCCTTAAAATTGTGTTGCCCTTTTTTTCTACACGAATCGCCAATCGTTTATTTTTTTGGTTTCTGGTTTTTGGTTTTTTTGGTTATGCTTTTGCACATAAAGTCTGCACGACAAAGGCGCAGAAGCGGTATTAGTTGAGCGGGCGTGAACGCGACGCGTGCGTAATCTTTATAATCGTGCGAATCATGCGCTCCACGGCTAATAGAGCCGCGTTCGCGCCCGAAGATATTACGCCATCTTCGTGCAGCAGCCTATTTGGATTTTTGATTGAGTAATATACTATAGATAGGAAAAGACGGTCTATACACTAAGACCTTCTTTGGGTTGTGCACGATTAACTCAACAATGATTTTGCGGAAGCGCACTCAAAGGACTTTATTTTTGTCTGACATTCATTTACTCCAGCATTCACTTACGCTTTTTGCTTTATTGAAATGCAATTATCTTCTTTGCTGTTTTATTTTTTTATTCTCTACAGATGTGAATTTCAAGAAAAGGCGGTTTATAACCTTGTAAAAGGACTCTTTCTGTCAAAGCATTGGCATTCGCTATTCAATTTTGACTTTCTTCATTGACTGCAATCAGACGTTTGTGCATTGAAGGCAAGAGGGAAGTAGAGGCTTTTCAACTATTAGACAGTCCCATAATTTTTTTTACCGATTTTAGCATCAAAAAATTATCTTGACAGCGAGAGCACCTATAATGCACAGATACATGGTCGCACTTCTCAATGCATAGAGTATATAATTACATCTGTAGGAGGAACCCAGGACTACTATGGGCGGAATTTGCCATTTTACCCCAATCAGTTCTTTCCTCATTGCTATAAAAGAAAAAAAAAAGAAACACAGGAATTGTGTGATAAAATGTCTAATGATCAAGTTTTTGTTTGGATGAATTGGCGATCTGTAGGATATTTCGAAATGAAGATACGTTGATTTGAGAAGATTTCGTTTTTAAGTACTGTCGGTTTGGCTATAAATTTCACGGGCAGATGCTTGATCATCGTCTAGATCTTGCTTTGCTCTATCGTGTGGTAACTCAAGCTGCACTTAATTACGGAAAAAAACAGACAGAACACAGTTTTTGTAAAATCAGAAAAAAAATTTATGGGATACAGTACCCACACTAATTATTCGACAGAAAACGCTAAAACTGACGATCCGCGTTTTTTTCGTTTTTTCTTCATAACTTCCTTCAAATTGCATAAAATACAAATCCGAAGAAAGCATGATGCTCAGCTTGTCAAGATGAATCTTCTGATATACTGTACTCTCGTACTATTCTGTTTTAAATCTGCTCGGTTTTTGTGTGAGGAAGGGTATTCGTAGTGGTGTAACTCAGCGAAGAACACACATGGACGATTCATGTAAACATGGTTCAGTAGTGCTGTCCCCGTAGATTATTATGTACTAGCATTCAGCAAAGGATCCCCTTTCCATGGGGAAAGATAGGCCGTTCAATTTTGAAAAAATCGATGTCTCTCAAATTTTGGTTACCGTACCCATACCGTAAGACGCTAATTTGCAAAGCAGATGCGTTTTTCGTGATCAGCAGGCTAAATAACCCCTATGCGCAAGTTTTCCGAGGAATGCGGGCTCTTTGATTTTTTCTCGTTCTAGGCTCTAAAGCTCGCCGACGGGTTTTGGCTGAAATATTGATGATCTTGGATTGACCGGAAACTTGGCCCATAGAGGTTTTTGGACTCGCTGATTACAGAAATAATGCCCTCTGTGCAGCATAAGTTCTTTTGGCAGAGTCATGCTGAGAGGAATGCTGCGATACTACGCAAGTTCCTAAGTTTGTCTGCCCTTTGCGCATGTCTGTTGGACAACTTACCTGCTCCTTCTTGTAATTTGAAATCACTAGAGGCAGTGCTCTTAGAGCATGCTTAAACTAGGCCCTTACCTGTATTGATCGCCGAACTGTGAGCTGACGAACTCACGTCCTCATGAAAATCTTTCGAGATTTTAAGATCGCATGTTTTGGCCAAATATCGCCGCGAATGGTTACAGATGACTGATTGCAGATATTATGTTTATATACACTGTAAATTGATAATTTATGCCGCATACTGCTGCTTACCCCTTGTGCCAACTCTTACACCTGTAACTCAAAGTTTGCAAAAAATCGATAACCGATATCGACCGATGGCGAAATGTAATCTATCAGACCAGCTCGGCTCCTAAGGCTGGGTTCATACTGATTCTCATGTTCCGGAACTGTTCCCGCACAGTTCCCAGCACAGTGCGGGAACAGTTGCGGAACATGGGAATCAGTATGAACTCAGCCTTAGGAGCCGAGCTGGTCTGATAGGCTACATTTCGTCATCGGTCGATATCGGCTTATCGATTTTTTGCAAACTTTGAGTTACAGGTGTAAGAGTTGGCACAAGGGGTAAGCAGCAGTATGCGGCATCAATTATCAATGTACATGTGTATATAAGCATAATATCTGCAAGCAGAGTCATCTGTAACCATTCGCGGCGGTATTTGGCCAAAATATGCGATCTTAAAATTTCGAAAGATTTTCATGAGGACGTGAGTTCGTCAGCTCACAGTTCGGCGATCAATACAGGTAAGGGCCTAGTTTAAGCATGCTCTAAGAGCACTGCCTCTAGTGATTTCAAATTACAAGAAGGAGCAGGTAAGTTGTCCAACAGACATGCGCAAAGGGCAGACAAACTTAGGAACTTGCGTAGTATCGCAGCATTCCTCTCAGCATAACTCTGCCAAAAGAACTTATGCTGCACAGAGGGCATTATTTCTGTAATCAGCGAGTCCGAAAACCTCTATGGGCCAAGTTTCCGGTCAATCCAAGATCATCAATATTTCAGCCAAAACCGGTCGGCGAGCTTTAGAGCCTAGAACGAGAAAAAATCAAAGAGCCCGCATTCCTCGGAAAACTTGCGCATAGGGGTTATTTAGCCTGCTGATCACGAAAAATGCATCTGCTTTGCAAATTAGCGTCTTACGGTATGGGTACGGTAACCAAAATTTGAGAGACATCGATTTTTTCAAAATTGAACGGCCTATCTTTCCCCATGGAAAGGGGATCCTTTGCTGAATGCTAGTACATAATAATCTACGGGGACAGCACTACTGAACCATGTTTACATGAATCGTCCATGTGTGTTCTTCGCTGAGTTACACCACTACGAATACCCTTCCTCACACAAAAATCGAGCAGATTTAAAACAGAATAGTACGAGAGTACAGTATATCAGAAGATTCATCTTGACAAGCTGAGCATCATGCTTTCTTCGGATTTGTATTTTATGCAATTTGAAGGAAGTTATGAAGAAAAAACGAAAAAAACGCGGATCGTCAGTTTTAGCGTTTTCTGTCGAATAATTAGTGTGGGTACTGTACTCTAATATATTAGGTCATTCCGAAAGTAATTTCGCTTTTTTCAAACGGGCACCACATGTGATGGAACAAAGATTTCTAAGAGATCTTGGAAACATTTGATGCAGAATTTCATTCTCTTTCTAATATTTATGAAATTGTCGCAAAACATTCAATGAGCTTTCAGAAAATCACCAAAACCTGCAACCCATGCTTTTTGAGATAATCAAGTTTTATGATTTTTTAAAACTTTTATATCAGTCCTCAAAAGGATTGCAAGTAACAATTCCATAGAGTAAACCTTATAGAATACAGCACTACTTTTTTCTCTTCCTCGTATCTAGCCGTAATTTTTTAAAAGATTTTTTAACAGAACCATCGGATTTTGGCAGGCCCACCTCAGCCACAATGGCAACAAACATCATAATTCTTCGGAATTTGAGACTACCAAGATAGTACTATGAGTTGGCATAAATTTTACAAAGCATGTGAGGGTTTACGGGTTCGAAATATCAAGTTTCGAGTTTTTTGGGTACAGCCTGGGGCTCGCTAAAGAAATGAATAATGATGATTTCATCCCCGGAAACTAAACGAATCGAAAACAAAAAACACCTGTTAGAAAGAGGAGAAAATGCTGCATCGAATAGTGCGCGAGCTGCTCCTCTTTTGATGTTCTACGAGGATTTAGCTGCCCATGCATGGAAATTGGTAGCATCAGTTAAAATTCTGTTAAAAATGTATGAATAGCTATGGAAAGGAGAAAAAAGTAGTACTGTATTCTGTAAGGTTTACTCTATCGAATTCGTTACTTGCAATCCTTCAGAGGATTGATATGAAAGTTTTAAAAATCATAAAACTTGACCATCTCAAAAAGCATGGGTTGCAGGGTTTTGGTTATTTTCTGAAAGCTCATTACTGTTTTGCGACAATCTGATAAACATTAGAAAGAGAATGAAATTCTGCATCGAATGTTTCCAAGATCTCTTAGAAATCTTTGTTTTGTCACATGTGGTGCCCGTTTGAAAAAAGCGAAATTACTTTCGGAATGACCTAATACATGCTTTTCATTGCTATTTCACCAGAAAATAAAAACCTTATCATCCATATAGATTACCACATCTACTTTAGCTCTTCCTCGCTCTGCTTGGTGTAGCAGCATTCTTTGTGATGAGAAAAATTCGCGATAGGAGACGGAATCACGGCGAGTATCGGCCGCAATTCGAGGAACTGCACCATGCCAAGGATTTACCGTACCTACAACCGCCAGCAGTAGAAGGGCTCATCTAGCTTATCTGAAGAAACGGCTAGACTTCATTTGCAAGTGCGATCTGTTGCACTTGATTCAATTATTCAAGCCCCGATGGTGATTCGCTTGTACTTCATCGTGGTGATTCGAATTCTCTTTCGGAGTTATCGAAAAAATGATCTACTGTGCCACTTTATGGCGAGCTATATACTTAACATTGAAGCGATGCTTTCCTTAGGGTTTTACTAAGTCCCGGTTTTCAATGCTTCACTTCTTCTCATGATTAGTGTCTGTGAATTGAATCCTCAGGTTTCATTAGACAACAGAACCCCTCAAGGTTCTGACTCTCAGCTTCTCATTGAGAAAAATTTAATTGCTTCGTTTTCTCTTCCGTGGTAATGTACAGTTCATGTGCCTCAATGATGATCAATGATTCTTTCAGACTTCTACCATAATGTATGCTAATATTTTCTTGACTCGTTCTATTTAATGTTGATTACAGTTGTGTATAGTTCTCTCCTGATAAGAGTTTTCACTATATGAAGACAAACTGTGATTGCTATTCTTGTTGTGCTACTGCGAGGGACTGTAAAACCCGGTGCTTACCCCTTATATTATGGAAGCTCTAGAAATATATAAATAAATATCATAATGTGAAATCAGTTGCAATATTTAGTGGCAGAGTATGGCAAAATCCACCAAGCAATACCAAAAGGCTTCTATTACGATTTTGTGGGCTAAGATCGTCTTAAGAAGATATTTTTGGAGGTAAGTACATAAGCACAAGCTATGTATGTGTACCCTCTTAAGTGATGCCGGCTCCAAATACTGGATCTGGATCCGGTGAGTAATCCTCTATTTCATAAGTGGTTATACGAGATGTGTACTCATGTGGCTGTGTAAATTAGCAGAATCATAAATGAGCAGTTCCATACGCAATTTTCTGCGCAAAAGAAAAACAAATGCCAGTAATTCTGGCATTAGCCCCCTTAAAGAAAGCGGGGACAATTTTTTATTCAACGGGGTGTGGGCTCACTTACATCATTTATGTATTGGTTGTCCCATAAGCCTTTTCACAGCTGGATTTTCAACGCTATAAGTCAGTTGTTCTTGTATTTCTAATAGGTTGCGGGGTACCATTCTACAGGGCGTCCCAAAAGTCTTGTAGCTTAATTTTGCACTGCTTTAACTCAACAATCACTGGTGATTTTGATCTCAAATTTATATCACAGAATCCTCCAATCATTCTTCGTAAACTACATCCTTGGGGGTAAAAAATGATCTTCATGTTTGACTGAAAAAAAATAAAATTATCAAACCATTTCTACCTCAAAACGCAAAAAGCTATTTCCTAAAAGTTTGAAATTTATTCCGCTACTGCAAAAATTTGGCACACCGCGGTGCAAATTCATATCCACAATATAGAGGAGGCTTTGCACTACTATCACTATAATGGCTGCGTTTAAAAATCTATTTCGTCAAGAGAGGCGAGAAGATACCTGGAAATTTTCAATGCGTGCCATTGCAACTATGTCGTTGAAATTAGTTTCAAATCTGTAGAATTGCAGCAGTCACTGAATTTGGATTAATATTCTCTTCGCATGTTTTCTAGATGGGATTCTAATGCAACACGGATGACGAACTTGGTTTCGAAACACATTGTAGCCTATTTTCTGTTTTCATTTTCCGCAAATGTGTCCAAAACTCCACCATGAGATCTACACGTGCCTGCATTCAAATTTCCGTAATTTTAACCATAAAACTCACAAATTTTTCTAATCATGGTATGATGTAGCTGAAAGCTTGCTCTATCATACAGCACATTTTCTAAGCGATAGGATTTATTTTCTTGAAAAATTGGGACAAAATTGATGATGACTGCTTGCGTGCCTCGGCAGTGGTAATCGCCAACAGTTTGAAGGCTTCCGCTATCAAGGAAAGATGCTACCACGAAATTCGAATGCTGTGATGTATTTGCTACTTTTTGAATAATATGTACACCAAATTTTATATCCCTATGTTGTTCCGTTCTGTTTTTATCAGAAAAAATACTAGGCTACAAGACTTTTAGGACACCCTGTACAGATCAAAGCAAGCTTTGAAAGACGGAGTTCAAGAGTTTGCGCTAGGCTTGATCCGCATCAAGTTTCAAACCAAACTAAAAAAATCCGAATTCCTGAAAGAGCAAAAATAATTACAAATAGAAAAAAATAAAATAGCTCTGCGAATTTCTCACTCGCTCACGCACATACTCTCTCCATTAAATATTTACATATATATATTTGTTGCATTTTTTGATGGCGAGAAATCAAGAAAAAATAAATTTTTCCTGAAATTTCAAATTTTGCCTGTAGTGGTTCTGTGTTTCTCGCAAATATGTGGTTTTATACCTTTTCACCCAGAAATACTGTTACAAATTTGCAGCCTTGTCGGTGCTCTAGTTCTTAAGAAATATCAGAAGGATTGCATATGAAAAGACTAATGGGACCACCTAATAGCTGAAAAAACAGTGGGATATTCAGCAGTTTTGAAAGCGAATGCGTACAACTATTACTAAGAGAGGAACTGAATCACTCAAAAATTATGGAATTGTCGTTATGAAGTAGCCAACAAGTTTGATTAGACAAATTCTCCATGCATCCGTAATCGCTGGCTCCCGGATATTAGCTAGTTTCACATTAGATTGGCTCAAAAGTTCTCGACATTTTCAGACCAAATTTGCTATTTCTCGAAACCTAATGCATGTACCTTCTGGAATCTGCAGCTGTACCCTTCGCCTGTAGCCGATATCTAAGTAAGTGGAAGGAGCCTAGGACCAATTGGGCGGAGTTTGCCATTTTCCAATTACCTCGTTTTCCTTGTTGTCTGAGCTCCACTTCCGTACAAGCTGTGCATGTAAGTATGTAACTATGTTTGCACTATAAATGAGAGCTTGCGAGGGTTTCGTAACGTTCTAGAAGTTGGAGATCTGGGGTAGGTTAAAATCCTATGCTTGAAATTTTCGCCTGAATTTTCATAGAAAACAATGAAAATGCTTATACTTCCTAGTTTTGTAGAGGTTGCTTTCTCCTATCCAATGGCTTGCTGCATGCCCCAATCAGTGCTTACATCGAAACAAAACTTTGTTTAAATGTACGAGAACTTTCGAGCCAACTTAATAATTTTTCAGTTGCCCTTACAGCTAAATTCCCTTGTCCTTTCCGGATAATGCTCGTTGACACATATAATCAACTCTGAGCGAATATAGAACCTAACGAAAATAATAACTAACAGAACCTCGAGGACAGTTAGAGTAGGTCTTTGTTTTATCATTACATCTATACGACCCATACCGCCACTTTTTTCTACTAAATTTCCTATAATCCTTATCCTGCGCATTTTATACTCTTCCATTAGTGTATGTTGACATTTTTCTAAGAAATCAAATTTCTTATAGTCAACTTCAAGCCATTCGCGTTCATCACAACAAATGGACATCATCTTTCTTATAGTATTTTTTTCTGTTCGAAAGACAAGACACCGTCCGTAATGTAAGAAAGTGGCTATTTTCTTACACTATTCCCTGCAGGTCTGTTCATGAAAAGGCCCAAAATTTTGCATCTCTATCAAAAACATTTCCAGTTTGTTGATATTGGCTAGACAAACATAAAGATTCGATAAAGTCCTAAAAGCTGAACACACTGTAGAATCACTATACTCTAATAAACACTATTTCTATTCTAAACCACAAATCTTTGCACAGCTATTAGGTTGTCCCGAAAGTTTTGTCGGTTTTTTCAAACCACTAAAAGACCATGCACAGTAAAGATCTGAATGAGTTTCAAAGTGCGTTTGATGCAGCTTTTTCTTCTCTTTCTTATGGTTACATTTTCTAACCGCAATCCTGTATGCTTTTTTTGATAATTGCCAAAATTCTTCAACCGCCATTTTTATCTGCTTGAAGTTAGGCTATTTTTCAAAAATTTCGTTCCCAAGTTTCGGAGAGAGTTGAGTATGGATCAAATAGAGCAATTCCAGGACTTTACGGGGATATTTTTTGATTCTCCTAATCTGCTGTGTTTAGCTCAAAAAAATTATTTCTTCGGAGGCCTTGATTTTCAGCAAAGTCATGAAAAACGCAACTGCAGCAAAAGCAAAAAAACTTTCAAAGTTTCTGCAAATTCAAACTTGCTTGTTATTAAACATTATTTATGCAACATAAGCAAGTTTGATTTGCTTCAAAAATCAGCTTTTTGAAATTTTCGGTACTTTTACGTGGTAAACTTATTGAAAAAGCCGCGGTTTTTACTGAATAAATAATCATAATGGACGTAATGAACGGGGCCCACGCAATCTAAAATAAGAACAATTTAGCCAAAGGATTGCTCTACATAACAGTCACCAGCGCCCCTTGAAAATATCAGTATAAAAATTTTGAAAATTTAAGAAAGATTTGGCGCTACTGCTAAGGTGCTCAAAAAGCCATGGCGATAACATCACAAAGACGGGGTAGATCAGAAAATAAATATAGCTGTAAGAAAGAGGATAAAAATCTGAATAGAATGATACCTAGGTCGACCATGGAATGGCTTTCTGTGAGTTTGAGTGAGCGATGAAAGAAACCGACAAAACTTTCGGGACAACCTAATATATTCATAGAGTATAGAATTGAAACAACTAGGACTTCTCCCTTTTAGAAAGAAAATGATGAAAACACAGGAAATGGGATTTATAGGGTGGATCTATAAACAGTAAGAATGCATAGAATCCTTGTCCGTCCGTGGAGGAGTCTCTCTTACCACACAAGAGTAGGAGAGAATAAAGAAAGGTGGTCCTGTTACTAGCATAAGTTCTCTATAATAGCTCATGTGGGTTCCGCTGTGTAGTTATAGCTTTCATTATTATTCTTTAGTTTGAAAATGTTTGAAGCTGAGTACGGATAATTATGTACGAGATTCAAGTAACTGTAATTTGATTTCTACACCTTAAACACAGCCGTTAATTATAAGATCTGTGCTCCTAACACATGATAAAGTCTTGTTGGCAAGTATGAAAGGTGTAAAAACCACTTCGTGACATTTTATTGCCATAAGTTGATGTTTTTGCAGCAAATCTTTCCCATGGCCAGAAAACTACGTTATAAGAATAAAAGAAGCGCAACGCCATCGAATAGGAAATCGTCATTAAGAGGTATTGTGACTGGCTAGCTGTTATTCTAATACAAAACAGTAGTCCTCACTACCAACTTCATTAAAATTGTAATTGTGATGTGTATCATAGTTCTCTGCGTAAAGACAAGAGGAGAAGTACGCACACTGTTTGAAATTCAAATATCTCGTCGCTTTTTTCCACTCAAGAAATTCAAAATGGATCATTGTTTATTAGTTAGTTATTGTAAAAGAATATGTACATAAATATAATTACTCTTATTGAAACCTTGTGAAGATGCTGTAATTCAGCAGTTCTAGGAGGATGAAGTTCAGTTCAGAATGCCAAATCAAAAGAGCAAAGAAAGAAGGAAGAAAATAAAGGAAACCACTGAAAGGATAAATTAGCAATTTTGGATTGCCTACAATGCAGCTACTAACAAAAAAAAACTAGTTACGACGTATCTCGCTACAAAACCTTCAAAGTGTTACAACATTCTTTGATTTAACTAACAGAGAATAGTAAGTATGTAGTCACCGAACTCGAGACCGTCTAACAGTTCATTTTGTAGTGACATAAGTATTTATTGCTAACAAAACTTCGCAATGCGATTTTCTTGAGCAAAATTTTTGTAAATTGCGAATACACATTTAGATTTTTAGCAAGTTATTGCTCAGTATGATAATGTTTCGAGAAATTAAATAAACTTCTACGAAAGCCATTTGGTGATTGTTCGAAATGTTTTTATCGAATTCACGTATAATCTAGCCAGGCTTTCGATAAACTACGAAATTCTTACAATATTCTTTATGGATTCAGGGATAACATACTGAAAACTTGTAAATCTATGTAGCTCCAGCTACTCATTTACTAGGGAATAAGAATTATAGTAGACGTAAGCTATTGGGTTGAGAAGAAAAGAATGTCACTTTGAGATGTTTTCTTTTCGGCTATGATATTTCTCAGGAGCTAAAGCATTTAAAAGACAGATTTTATGGTTTAATTGTAAGTAAAATTTGTAGTATTCAACTCTAAACTTAGTACTTCTAGAGGCTGTCTGCCATCTTCCGTTTTACATTTTTTGAATTCTGACAGCGAAAAATTACATCAAGTGTTAATATAGATAAATGCGAGTATCTGCTGGAGCAAGCTACAAATTTTTAGGATTTTTTAAGGCGAAGATCCAATTTTGATGTCATGAATTGACAATGTATTATGGCAACTTTTGCCCTAATCACTACTTATCTTAACGTTTGGAGGATGTCTTGTAGAGTTTGCTCCGCTCTATCGAATGATACCCCTTTTACTTTTCTCTTTTTTCTTTACCATAGAAATGACATCCATTCCCTCACATCCTGATGAAGAGACATAAATCTTGAATTGGGGGCAGGAATTTTCGCGAAGCACTTTACGAACCTTAGGTGCTGTCGTTATTCCGATGTAATTTGATAAGGGTTTACTATTTGTAGATCAATTCAATCAGCTCTACTAATCATGCTCGTACCTGGCTCAATGCGACTCATTTCCCAGCTTCTCTAGCGTTCTTGCTACACTTTTGATTGAATGACAATTTTCGCCGGTGATAAACGTAGCGCCATTGGGTGCTTCGGTTTCTATGGAGCTCGAATGCCGTCATGCCCCCGACATTCGAATTCTTCTCGTACTGATTACCATTATTCTGCTCGCTGTTCGCATAACCGAGCGCTACCTTGACACCCGCTCCTTTAAAATTTCACCTCTTCCTTCCGCGAATTGCTATAGTAGCTCATTCCAAAGTTTAGCGATATTACGAAGCTCGAAAACATATAAGAAATCTTCTTCCTCCTGAAAAATGGCCACAGTATAGCTCAACCTTCTTGCTACATTACTACAAAAGCACTGATTGCTCAGCTCCTTTTAGGCAAAGAAATTTGTATGTGGAGCAAATCGCACGATTTTTCTTTTAAAGCCTGTAACTTTTCATGGTAGATGTATTCAATGCTGGAATTTCTGACCATTCTGAGCTCCTATCATCCTCGGGTCTTAAATCACTTGATTTTTTACAGCTTCTTAGCTCCTAAGAATGAATTCTTCACCAGTTGAACCAATTCATCCATCAGAAGTTTGATTTATTAAGGGCTTACTTGTAGAGCTCATCTCGAATATTTGATGCACACAAAATACTAAAGGATAAGTTCAAGAACAAAAAACAGGCTCACCAATCCATAAACCAAACTTTATAAAATCTACAAAACATTTATGACAAAACAGCTGATCTCAGGTCTTACTTGTTACTGAGGAGTTTCGGGGAAAATCTAGCTGAAAAAAATTCCATTCAAGGGAAGCAACAAACAGGAGCAGGATTCTCTGCGTTTTGGCAAATTTCGGACACCAAAAATTGTTTTTATTTGTGGTGAAAATCGTACATCAAAGCGTCCACAATTCTATTTTATATAATTTCATTTTGATTCTGCGTAATTCTTCGTAACTCTTTGTAATTCTCATTCTCTATCACCATAGTTGATGCAAGATGTACAAAACGGCAAATCAAGGCAGGTATCTTGCCAACTAAAGTATATTTCTTAGGAAGTCAAGAAAATTTCTTGGACCTATGATATCTACAATCAACTCTCAAAATTTGCTCCGTTGTTTTCTATCTTCCATAGCTTGATCGATTCTGACAAATTCTCGTAAAAACCAGAATATAAAAATATTATCCTTTATTGGCAATTACATCGCATTACATAGTACGAAGAGGAAAAAGTGCACAAAAGAAATAATGGCTAACATCCTTAATTTGTCTGGGTGATTGAAGGCTCTTTGCTTAATGATATATATAAAACCTAATCAGCTTGTGATAACCAACACTGCTCTCTCTCTCTAACTTTGCTAATGCTCTCCTTTCTGTTATTTTACTTAAACTACCGTAAGCCAGTCAAAGTATCTATTTGATGCATTTGTCATTACTTGTAACTACACGAGCGTGAAACTCATTCTTCAGATAGTTGCTAATGATTGCAACTATCTGAGAGTTATTTATCTATCTACAACTTTGATTGGCTTCATTTTCAGGGTTTCTGCTTGTAAACCGAGAGCTCTCATCAACGCACAACGACTACAGTAGTTTAGTTTGATAGGCGGATAATCCAGGTATAATAAATGTTTTTACGACCTTGTGTTGTTTGAGGTGTGATTGCACTTCTTTTCCATGGCACCTAATTACAATACAACAAATTTTGTAAAGTTTCTGAAAACATAATCTCTTTTACAGAGAAATGGCAAATGCCGGATCTGTGGGTTTCAATCCAAACGATTCACGTTATAAGGCTTGCTGTTGCCATACGAAAACATTCACCATCGTTGTGGGAATTCTTGAGATTTTCGCTATTTGCTTTGTACTAGTTGCCGGTAAGTTATACTACTTTCTTTGAACTTTTCGGTGCATTGTTATGAAATAACTTGTGTAAGTACTTATTTATCGAAATTAGATTAATTAAGAGTGAAGTTGACACATAATTGAGGAGGTTATCATTCTTGTGTCATCTCAAAAATATTTGTTTTTTAGCATTCAAATCACAATTATGTGCCAGGGAACAATGGGTTTTAGTTTATAACACTTTTTTGTAAGAATGGTTTTCACTATAGTTCATTCTTCATTTTTCACTGCTTAGATTCTTTTCTTCGGCTACAATTCCTTTCCAGCAATAAAACTAAAGAAAGCTTGTGAAACTACAATGGGTATTTTTCACAATGTTTTCAATGAAATCATACGTGCTCATAAGTCTTCATTATGATAGTAGATTGAATTTCACGCTCACAAGATGCAAAATGCATGTTAACGAGCTTCTTATGTTTAAAGGTTACCTAGGATACATACCTTTCACACACGAAATGGTCGTCTCACAAGATAATAGAGCTTTCTCTTAAAAAGCAGGCATTCATTAGCAAATGTTCCACGTACCTTTATCAGGAAAGGACTGGGAAACTTTGTTCTATTCGTAATGAATCCTAAGAAGTAGGGTAGGAGGGGGGGGGGGCAGTGGAGGGGGAAGGAGGGAAGACCAACTTTTTAAAAATGGTATACATCACTTATACATAGGGCCTGGCACCAGCTGGCAAATGGGGCAAGCTAGATATCGTTTTTGGGGCAAAAAGCAAAGGTAATAACGTTTTTGTGAATAGATTATGATGTTTCTTTAGTCGGAGTTTCGTTTTTTAAGGGGTTTTTACGTTTAGGGTTGAGGGTCAAAAGGGACTTCGTAAAACTCAGCGAAAATCAAGGGGGACTTCGTTTTGAAAATTCCTTGGTGCCAGCTCGTGCCGAGCCCTGCTTATACGTTAACGAAAGTGAATGTAAAAATGTATAATATTTTGGAAACATTTTTGCAGACCAAAATTAAATAACGCTTGTAAAAGAAGGTCTCCCTCTCATTTTTTTGAATAAAAGCTTACGAAATTCTGCGGAAACAATTTTGAGACGGCTCATTAAAGATCTATACCCTTGCGCAAAACGATTTAAATATAGTACTTTGAGTGCGAAATACTGCATTTTTTCGTATTTTTCAGTTGTTGCTTTTTTCGGCCTTTTTTTAGGCGCACTTTTTATGATCTTGAGAGGCAAACAATTGAAAATATTAACTGTTAAATTGATTTTATCTATTTCTCTTAACAAAAAAAACTCGCAAAGTGCTAAGTACGGGCTGATCCTTGATTTACAAATCAACGATACACCACTTTTTATAGTGAGTTTACCGAAGAAGAACCGATATATGTTAAAACCAATTGTTTTCGCTGTTGTTTTAATTTTACACGAACAGGATTATCCATATTGGATACCGTAAATTCTTTTTTGAAAACACTGAGATAGCTCTCGATAAGATACGAGCTTGGAGGAAACCGGTTTTTTATCACAATTTAGCTTTTTTGTATCAACAGTGAATTGTTGATGCTTTCACGGTGAAGCTACGTCTATTCGATACATGTGAGAAGTTTTCTTTACAGTTCTACCCGATGTGAATTCTAGACTGTGCGATTTTTCTATCACATCACCCAATCTGAGCAACCAAAGTAATAGCAATTATGCTTCGTAAGTTCTTGAATCTAAAGTTATATTAAAAGAAAGGATAAATCACACTTCCAGAGCGATAGCGCAGCTACGCCAAATAATGTGTGATTTGAGTATCGTCTGGCTAATTTGGGCAATTGCACAGATTGTTGGAATAAACCTTGTATTCTATGGAATAAAAAATATACAGTGGAAGTTCTTTGTGCCTCATATAATCTTGAGGTAAGTGAATAAGTGTATTTGATTATGAATAACAGCTTTTTTCCTCTTTTCACAGAGTGCTTGGGACCGTCGTACTTGCCTGTCTGATCGCCATTTTGACGTTTTCTGCTTTATCAGAGGAGAATAACACGGCACATATTATCGGATTAATATTTGTAGCACTACTGGTGATATTCTGGATATATTCTACGGTAAGAACGTTATCACATTACTCAACACACAGCCAAAATATCCATAATAATTCGTCTTTGAACACTGCGCGCAGAACACCACGATCCTACTGTTTTTTGAGCGTCTAGGAGACCATTTCCACCTCTTTTTGCTTTCAAGCAGTAGCCCATAGAATTGGAGCTGTTGATCGCTTAAGTACAGATACGATTGTCATTGTACATGAGTCGACCAAAAAAAGCTCTCCATTTTGGAAGAGGAATGAAAAAATTCAATGTGGCATAACTTAGAGGAAATCGAGAGGAACTTTCTAGGTGATTCTAGAGAGATATTTTCACTTAGTATTTCAGTTATGAAGCATAACATTCCTAATCACATGTCAGAATTTAAATCAAATGAAAATTCGAACAATTATCAACGCGCAAGTCGTCAAGTACAGCGCGCGTTGTGCAGTCGCACCTAATGAGTTGCAATCGATTATGCTCACATAAGGTTGTGTCGGTGAAATCCGGCCAAAATTGCGGTATTTGCGCGAGTTGCGGGATTTAGTTATAACATCTTCCAAAACAATTTTATTTGGAATCTGCAAGAAGATTTGGCTTCAGCTTGATGAGACGAATCTTCTAGTATACATTATGCTCGTAGTGCATGGTACGGTAGACATATGATACTACTTTGTTATTTTCAAAAATTGTTCATATAAGCAACAATACATGTTGATAATCTCATAACATGCCAATACAATACAATGCACCATGGAAAATGGGCATAATGTATACTGAAGGATTCGTCTCATCAAGCTGAAGCCAAATCTTCTTGCAGATTCCAAATAAAGTTGTTTTGGAAGAAGTTATAACTAAATCCCGAAAATCCCACAATTTTCCGGATTCCACCGATATAACTGTATGCACGAGTTTTCATGAGAATTGCCATAGCCTTGAAATAATATCGGAACGAATCCTTAATCTCAGCTTACAATTTTTTTCATGCAGATAACTGAATGTTGGTGCGCCCATTTCGTCAAACGCTCTCAAGAGACCGGATTTTCAATATCAGTGGCCCGTCCTATAGGACCGGCTACCATATCCCTCAGTGAAAGAGAGGCACCTGCTTCGGTAAGCTGAGAAAGTTCTGGTTTTGTAGTTCTTATGGTTTCTTAATTATATGCATAAATATGTAACTGATGAATGTTATTTTTAGCCACCAGCACGACAGCTGCCACCGTTACGTCACACCTATGGAGGAAGGAGAGATCCACAAAAATACGCTCAATGAAGTCACTTTATAAATGTATGAACATATTCAAACGCATTTGCTTGGAAGGCATCAATCTTTTGCTCACTGCTTGTTTTCCGATCTCACTATATTGTTCTTCATTTAACATTCTTTAGTACCATGCGGGTGATATTCATTGGGTTGATATGACTTTTTTGAGAAAAAAATGCAGTGTTTTGTTCTTTCTAGAAGTTTCGCTCTCGTTGTTATCACTTTGTGCTTCTTGACATAGTCGAATTCATAGTTGTGTGATTCCCAGCAGAGAAGTAGTACTGTGTCCATCTATAATATCCGAAACCTTATCAACCTTGAGTTGAAATGAAAATAATTAAATTGTGAAGCATGCAGTGGGTTACGAAAAGCAGTAGAATCCTTCCTTAGCATATTTTTATGAGTTGTCTAGACAGGTATATGACATGTTTGTCATATATTCCCTACGAATTCTTAATTGTGATTGCAGACTCAAGAAATGGTCAAATTGCACTTTCAAAGACAGCGCCCAGGCATCTATGCTCCCTCGATTAATACTCGGTCTACAAAAGAGCCCAAGGAGGGGACATCTGCGTGGTCCGGTCCTTCGGTATGGCCCCTAAATGGAAAAAACGGACCTGGAACCGGCGAAAGTGCAGTAAAGCCACGCCCGCTCGACCAAGCTCCGCCCACCCAGGTACTGAAAATCCCCTTTGCCTTCGGGACAGGGCTCCTAGAAATCGGGTTTCTTGAAGGTTTTCCACATTTTACACTTGATATCTGTATCAGGGACTAGGAAAGGCCCCAACAAGAACATGTAGGACGAAGATTTCGATGGATGCTGCCTTTGATTACTCTTGCTTCACCACCTGGTTAAGCTGAAAGTGATCAGCCATAATTGCACCCGATTACGTTCTCGAATACGATTTTCTCACGGCTCCGTCGTCCCAGCCCCACATGCTAATACCAGTAATTTAACATTCTCCGTTTGCACTCACCTACGCAAATCACGCAAATCACGCGCTAATGATTAAGTGCATACTATATTGAAATTTGGTTTCTTTTTTGGTCTTAGGCTGGGGCTAACCAAGGGTGTGTATGCTTTGTTGCTTGTGGAACTGCTGAGATGACGAAATTAACGCTGACAACTTTTTGAACTTCACAACTGATATTAGGTTGTCTCATAAGTGTTTTCATATCTGACATAAGTCAGTTCTTATTAGATTCATAATAGGATGCGGTGTACCACTCGACAGATCAAAGCAAGCGCTACAAGATGGCGTTGGAAAGTATGCACCAATTTCGATTCTCATTTACAAGCTAAAATAGAAAAACTTTCGAATTCCCGAGACAATGAAAATGATTGTATCTCATTCAAAACAACTCTGCGAATTTCCCACTTGTTCACGTACGTACTCTCCCCATCAGACATTTATACATACACTCGTTGCAGCTTTCTGATGACTAGAAAATAAGAAAAAACAATGAGCTGTTTTTCTCAACTTTGCCTGTAGCGCCTCCGTGTTCCTCGTAAACTATGCGATTATATACCTTATTCACTCTGATATACTGCCACAAATTTGCAAGTTGTAGGTACCCTAATTCTTGAGAAATATCAATCGAAAAGTTCGAATATGAAAGACTCAAGGGACAATCTAATAATTTGGAACAATCCGATTAAAAAAAATCAAAAAATATCAAGCGATTTCCGCATTCGCAATAGAATCCCATAGAATGCACGCCTTGGAATGGATCAACATTCGTTACAAGAGTTAAATCGATGTATTTTTTGGAAAACTTGGAAAAACATGGAAAATTTATTACGGATCTGCAAAAAATCTACAACCCTAGAATCCCTTTCCACAACTAATGGGTAAATTAGATGGAATCTATGTCTATAAATATTTTCGTCACTTTTCCTCGGATGAAGCGTTGCCATAAACTTATTCAATTTGGAAAGTAGCTATTCCGTGTAGGTTCGAGAACAGTGAACTTTCTATTCATTTTTTATGCGCCAATGATTGATGAGTTGATAAATAATGCTTTGTGGGAATACAGCCATTTCTTTGACATCACGCGCTCGCATAGGGGGAAAAAAGTAGCCAAGGACAAAATAGTGAAATGGAAAAGGTTGTGCGTAAAACAAAACCTCAAAAAAACATCATAACTGCCTATACAAATTGAAACTAGAAGCTTAAAGCACATATGCACATCCTGCAAAACCGTATTACCAATTTTTCCAAAATGCTCATCGACTAGAACAATCACAGGGTTCTGATTGATCTTTCATGGAACTTTTGGTGCTGGATTTTTGGCCTAAAATGGGAAAACATATCAGCGATAAACTTCACAGTGAATCGCACCTTTGGAGGAAGGCCGCGGAGCATCTGATGCTGATTCCTCGTCATTGTTGGGCTGAATAGGCAGCTATTCACTCTACACATTGTCCACAACAAAAAAGAGAAATTAAGTTTATTATAGAGACTTGCCAACTTATAAGGAAGCATAGAAGCAACTGCTGCAATAATAGGAGTGGAAACTGGGGCAGGGGCTACGAAAATTGGAGAGCCAGCACCATTTATTCGTTGAATGGAAGGCAGGCCTAAAAGAGGGTTTTGAACTCCTTTACTGACCTGATTTTGCATCACATATGGTATATTTTGTGTACTTAAGATATTGAAAAAAAAAACGGCAGCAATGATAAATCAAAACAAAATACTGATATGAAAATATCAATCGTTTAAACAAACCTTTTTTGTCAAACAGCTGTTCTAGACCTGCAGTGAGCCTGAAACATCAGATAATCATATGCCAATTTTGCTAAAAATACGTTGATTCCTATTTCCACTCTTATTTCAAAAAAAATTTTTTTCTTGACTAATCACCATAAAAATGTAAAGTAAAATACCAATTTGTGAAGGAGACCTTACTGTGAATATAAGACAAGAATGCCGAGAGAAGTATAGAAAGCAGTCATTGTCGAAGCTCATATCAAAAGAATGCAACATTTTTTCGTATATATACTTCTATTGTGGAAGGTTTTGAGAGTGACAACAGAAACAATCACACTAAATCATGAAAAATGATAGTTCCGCTATTTAGCGTGCATGTGACACAATCCATTGCTTTTTATACACTCAAGCCAAACTTCGCAACATTTGAAACATAAAGAGAATGAGAAAACGTTCTACACCATTTGAATTGGTAAATTTAACGTCATAGTTATAATCTAACTTTTCACAACATGCATCTTGAAAGGCTCATTCCAAATCTGCCTTCTCTATCTGCGAAGCAATCTCTGATGGAAGTTATGAACGCTTTTCTCGACAATTCTTATAATACTTTGAATAGCTGAAATCACTAGCATTAATCTAGATTACTATGCTGTTGACTGCGCAACGGAAAACTGATTTCTTGGAGTGGCACCAGGGCTCAGCACAGCTCGCACCGGGTCAAGCTGGATATCGTTTTTAGGGCGGAAAGCAAAGGGGATATCGTTTCTACAGGGGCCGAGGCGGAGACCTGCCGCAAAAATGCCGCCGGCATGCCACCGGCATGCCATTGGCAAGCTGTCCATCAACAAACAAAGGCGTTGTTTTCAGCCAAAACGCAATAGTATGACACCAAATTTGGTGTGTGCATGCGCGTTGGTGGACCGGAACTATGGGCCAAAAATTTATGAAAACTTATGTTAATGAAAGCTGTGCCGAACTTTTTTCTGAATTAGCTGGCACCGTGCCAGCTGGGTGCCAGCTGAGCTGGCACCAACACTTTGCTCATATAAATTTTCATACTTTTTTACATAAAATGTATCCACACTGTAAAAGATTACATACGGAGAAGAAAAAGTTTCATAATGTTCTCTTTTCAGCGTTTTAGAGCAATTTGAAAACCACTCGGTCCGCTCCGCAGTTGAAAAATCGGCTTTTTCTGCTTCTCAAGATGTGATTCGACCACTTAAAAAGCTCAGAAAGCTGTGAAAAGTTCTTTCATGAAATCAGAAATGCATGAAAACACTACTACATTTTTTTACATAATATAAAAATGATAACGCGTTTTCAAAATAGGTCAAAAGAAACTTCGTACGAAATTTTCAAAATCAAACGGGACGTTTTGAAATTTCCCTGGTGCCAGCTCGTACCGAGCCCTGAGTGGCACTGCTGCGTCTGTGCTCCTCTCGCAGACCATCTGCTTTTATACATAGGTCGAGGCTTGATTCGACTTACAAACAACATTCTATAAGATGGAAGCATAGATAACAACGGAGTTGTGAGAAGTTACAGTTTTCACTTCAAGGTGAGGTTGTACTTGGTAAGCATAGAAACTGTATCGTCTTAGTTAAGATTGCGAATCTCACCGCGACACAGGTGTTGTACAGGTTTCAACAAATGGCAGAAATTATACTATATGATACCACTGCTTCGCTGTGGCTTTTCAGGCTAGAATCAGCTACAGACAGCGGGCTGTAGTTTGGAATTTGGAAACAAGTAGTGTCATTATCATTATTCATTTACTATTGACCATTTCTACTCAATAAGTGATAAATTACAATGGCTTACTCAGTGAGAATAAATAATTTCAAGTCTTTCTCTTTATGTTTCAAATGTTGCGAAGTTTGGCTTACTCAGTGAGAATAAATAATTTCAAGTCTCTGTGCTTCGACCTTCTTGGATGGAGATTTGGTTTGACCTCCGAATTTCCGTAAGTTTTCACTAAAAAGAAAAGGCTTATAAAGGAAGGATACTTGGTGAAGGTGGCCATTCAAAATGAAGTGTATATTGATAAATACACCTCTGAATGCTGGTTCGAAAATTGTCTTTCACATCTGCTAAGCAATAACCTGGAAGGGTTATGATTATTTTCGAAGAATAAATTGTACTTCTACAAGGGCCAAGTTGATCATAACGAGATTTTCTTTCTCAACTGCTAGGTTTGTATCAGTTAGTTCAATTCCAATAGTACTATGTCTGAGACTTTCTTCAGCAACAGCATAGTAATCTAGATTAATGCTAGTGATTTCAGCTATTCAAAGTATTATAAGAATTGTCGAGAAAAGCGTTCATAACTTCCATCAGAGATTGCTTCGCAGATAGAGAAGGCAGATTTGGAATGAGCCTTTCAAGATGCATGTTGTGAAAAGTTCGATTATAATTATGACGTTAAATTTACCAATTCAAATGGTGTAAAACGTTTTCTCACTCTCTTTATATTTCAAATTTTGCGAAGTTTGGCTTGAGTGCATAAAAAACAATGGATTGTGTCACATGCACGCAAATAGCGGAACTATCATTTTTCATGATTTACTGTGATTGTTTCTGTTGTCACTATCAAAAGCCTTCCACAATAGAAGTATATATACGAAAAAATGTTGCATTCTTTTGATATGAGCTTCGGGAATGACTGCTTTCTATACTTCCCTCGGCATTCTTGTCTTATATTCACAGTAAGGTCTCCTTCACGAATTTGTCTTTTACTTTACATTTTTATGGTGATTAGTGAAGAAAAATGTTTTTTGAAATAAGAGTGGAAATAGGAATCAACGTATTTTCGGCAAAATTGGCATATGATTATCTGATGTTTCAGGCTCATTGCAGGTCTAGAACAGCTGTTTGACAAAAAAGGTTTGTTTAAACGATTAATATCTTCATATCAGTATTTTGTTTTGATTTATCATTGCCGCCGTTTTTTTTTCAATATCCTAAGTACACAAAATATACCATATGTGACGCAAAATTAGGTTAGTAAAGGAGTTCAAGACCTCCTTTTAGGCCTGCCTTCCATTCAACGAATAAATGGTGCTGGCTCTCCAATTTTCGTAGCCCCTGCCCCAATTTCCACTCCTATTATTGCAGCAGTTGCTTCTATGCTTCCTTATAAGTTGGCAAGTTTCTATAATAAACTTAATTTCTATTTTTTGTTGTGGACAATGTGTAGAGTGAATAGCTGCCTATTCAGCCCAACAATGACGAGGAATCAGCATCAGATGCTCCGCGGCCTTCCACCAAAGGTGCAATTCACTGTGAAGTTTATCGCTGATATGTTTTCCCATTTTAGGCCAAAAATCCAGCACCAAAAGTTTCATGAAAGATCAATCAGAACCCTGTGATTGTTCTAGTCGATAAGCATTTTGGAAAAATTGGTAATACGGTTTTGCAGGATGTGCATATGCCTTGAAACCGTTTTGTATGTTTGCCATATGCGCCTCTTTTTATAGCAGCCTTTCTTGTTTACAGAGCTGTTGTGAATATTATCGCTGCTGTTATTTCTTGATGTAGTTTAATTACTCAAGTTTGAGATAAGTTGTGCGCCGTAACCGGTTCGCGCACTCCAACTTGAGTGATCCACTGAACCACAAGTTTATGGTGCATCGCCAATCGAGCTGAAGGAAAGGATGAATTAACGGAAAAGGATACAAGTACGATTTTTCTCTTGGTTCTTCTTTCATTTTACCGGGTATGAGACACTGTAGGACCTACGGTCATTAAAAGCAAGCAAAGCGCTATCAACGATATATTGCAACAATCTGTCATGCATAGTAATGAAAACGGAAGAATGCCGTAAATATGACCCTCCTGAAGCTTTTTGCGAAATTGCGCAGATAATCTCTAAACTTAGTACAGAACGAAATTGCTGTTAGACTCTCTTTCCAGTTTTATCGAAATTGTGCATGCGCTTTCAGACTCACTCAAGGAGGAGCAAGAACAACAAGGGCAAGAGTACATTGAAAGGGCGCATTCGCTGATCGATCAAGCGCAATTATCACCATTCAAAAGTTTAAGGGTCCGTTTACTTATGCAGATGTTTACAGAACGCCACGATCGACGAAGCGGAGATGGTGCCGATAGCGGGCCGAGCAGCTTACAAGAGGAGGACGCGAGGAGGAAGAGAGAGAAGGAATCCCGAACTCCTCTGCGGAGCGGTACATTCCCAGATATTTCCCTTCATCAACCGCTGCTGTTTATCCTATATCTATACCTAATGAACTTTATTATTACGAACTTGTGCTGCAACCTAGTAAACATGATACTCTACACGGCCGGCTCTTACTGAAGCTACGCAAACAAGGGCCTTTGAAGAAACAATCCCAAGAGACCAGCCAAATCGGGGGAGTGTGACTGTAAGTGCAGCAAGAGCACAGTTACCTGCTATACCTATACCAACTTTTGAAGAAAATGAAGAACTATAAAAGTTTTAGACGCTTTTTTAAGCAAAATATAGATTACAACCATCAAGCAGGCTGCAATAGTTCAACTACCTATTAGCATCTCTCCGAGGCGAAGCCCTTAACTACTGCGATATCAAGTGACTGAAGACAATTATGGTAACGCAGCCGCATAAGCCCTTAACTACTGCGATATCAAGTGACTGAAGACAATTATGGTAACGCAGCCGCATAATTACGTGAAAAATATGACGATAAATCGAGACTCGTCGCCGAACTACAGAAAGAACTGGAAGCTGCACATGCGGAAAATCAGAAGACTACGTACGGAGCTCAAAAACTTATCAGCAGCACTAATTGTTCTTCGGAAACCCAAGACATTGTACGAGAAGATCATCCTTATATGCCACAACATGAAAATTGTCACCGACTCCGCAATACAGCTAGCGAGGAGCCTATATAGATGACTTGTGCAATTCCAAAGAGGACCTGAGAGCAAGACAAGCCGAAAGAGAGCTTTTGAACGTATCCCTTAAGAAAAAACACAGAGTTCGCACTCTTTCGAGTTCAATTTCGCCACTCTTAGCAACACCGAAGTTGCTCATCACTTCTCGTATTACCACACCGTCAGGATGGAAGGCGATCATGTCGACCTCGATACGATGACAAAGGAAGACCACTTTGCATCCAGCAAGAAGAGATTGAACGGATCATCGCAGACCACATCAACGCCTTAGAACCCAGGCTGCAGCAGAGAAGCCAAATGGTACAAGAACAGCAAGCAAAGAGAAGGAAATTGGACTCCCATATCATAAAAACCTTAAACAGGATCATCTCGAAAGTGGACAAAATCGTTTCTGCGCACACTTCAAACATCTCAGAGGAAAAGACGAGACGCCTGTTTAGAGAAGAGTGGTATGAGGTGCGAAAAGCAACAGCAAATGAAAGCTCGACACAGACGGGACTACAGTGCTCTGAGACCGACTGTCGTAAACATGACTTCAATCGAGAAAACCCAAAATGCTTTGTTTACATCTGCGCGCAGAGCCGACCCCAGATGAAGCGACCGATAGCAGAACGATCATCGTCTATGCAGCTTCTCGGCGCTCCAAGTATCATTTTTGCATAATTTGCATTTTTTGTCGTATCATCCTGTAACATCAATCCTCGAGGTATATAAGCTTGTGCAACAGTAGACACATATTTGCTGACATTAATGTTGAACAGTTTTTGTACTCTCTTTCTTCCAATTTCAAAAACAATCATACAAAACAAGTATAAAAGATAAGTACGAAAATCAAGTATTTAGTAAAAAAGGACAAGTATTGTAGCAATTATGATTGCCAAACATATCCTTTTATCAGTTTTTCCTGTTTTTATCATTAAGCATTACTACCTAATGTAGTTTTAGTCTCATGTTATTTTGTTCTATGTTTATTTTGTCGGTTTCCTTTCATAGTTTTTTGAAGTAAACGGTTTGATTTTCCAAGTTTGAGTTGAGGTACGCTTCAACACCTATAAGCCCGCGTGGCAGTGCATCAAGTAGGTCTCTTGTATCTAACGATTATTGTTTCAAATATCCTACGTTACCTCAACACACTGACACACAGACGGAACTAATTACTCCGACGCCAACACAGACTTTGCACCAATTAGATGTCTGCATGCAAAGTGAAGAACAACCGCTTAGGACAAAGATGACAAAGGAAGAAGAAAAGGAATCCAACCGGCAAGACTTACCTCTTAACTCATTTAGGGTCGGACAGTGACAAAGTAGAGGGAAGCACCCAAATGGAGGAAACTGAAGAAATCGCTCAAATGGAAAAAGCAGGGTAAAACGCTCAAATGGATGAAGCTGAAAAAAGCGAAGTGCCAGAAGCGGTCCACGATACGATATAGAGCTGATGGACGAGATTGGCGAGGGAGATCAAGAGCCGAGCCCTGATGATGCGCATGTAAAAGAACTGAGAATCAATTAGAAGAGCAGAGACAAGCCGAATACGACTTCTGCAGGACCATTTTCGAAGTAAACAAAGCTGCGCCTCTCGCAGAATCCATTCTGGGACCGATACAACGCGATCACGAGTGCTTCATGAGATGCGCATTCTGCGAAGCTATGGGGAGACATTATTCCGACTTCTGTCCCGTCATCAGCAACGTAGCAGACAGAAGGCGCGCTAAGGAACAAAGGAAATGCCATCTATGTTTAAAGCCCATTACGGGGCGTGAGGGACTGCAAAAAGTACAAGACCTTCTGCTTCGCAGGTGCTACGGCCATCATTCGGCCACATGCAATCTCCCGGACGTAAGCGAAGCGCGCCTAACGAGCGCAAGGAAAGCTCGGAGACGAACTAACGAAACATGGGAACTCGAAGAAGCTCACCTGTCACCAAAGTGCGGCACCGCAATAAGCTGTGAGTAGTATCGCAGTGAGACTTGCGGTCTTTTCAAACTAAGGTGATACAGTTTTTAGCTTATCAGGTACACTCTCACATTCGAAGAGAAAACTGTAAGCCTTTTACAACTTTGTTGTTATCTATGCTTCCATCTTTATAGAATGTTGTTTGTGAGCCGAACCAAGCCTCGACCTATGTATAAAAGGAGATGGTCTGCGAGAGGAGCACAGACGCAGCAATGCCACTCCAAGTAATCAGTTTTCCGTTGCGCAGTCTTATTTTACTTTTATGTTTTTGTACTGCGCCTTCAAATCATTTTGTATGCTTGCCATACGCGCCTCTTCTCATCGCCACTATTATGAGCTTCATATTTTTGATGTAGTTCAATTATCCAAGTTTGAGATAAATCGTGCGCTGTACTGGTGTGTCGAGCAGTCCTGAATCACTGATTATCTCGTTCGAATATTTCTGAGTGCTTTTTCGCCATGATGCACAACTGTTTTAAGAAAAAAAACTTAACTTATACGAAAGTTACGCGCGGTCGACAGTGAAAGTACATGAGCTGTCGTGCTGTCCGTAAGATATGATTCACAATTTCAAACTAGGTACTCTTCTACTGTACAGTTATGTTATTTCGTTCCTGCTCTGACTCAATTCTCTTTGCATTTACTAGGCTGACTCAGAACGAGTTTTAAGTGGTCGAAGAATGGCTCGAACAGAGTGCACAAAAAGCAGCATGGCAAAAGTACTTCCATTCTTTACTTTTTTCCAGGTAATCCCCTGAACATTTTACAAATAAACCATTATGTGCTTCTTTTAATGGCAAAACATTATGTTACTATCTCATCGACCTTTGGTGAACAAGCTGTTTCAAGGGAAGGGTCGCTCTTTATAAAAAAAATCAAAAAAATCCGAGCAAAACAGTTAAGGATTATAGAATGAGAAGGAGGTCATTTGAAACAAAAAAGAAAAAACGTAAAAAAACATAAATATACGAATGCTCATTTCAATTTGATGTTTGTCCACCAAAACTTACATCAATTCGCAAAGTAATCCAAACTATCTTATTTTATTCGTTGTTGCAATATATCTGTGACATACCCATTTTCAACACTGCATTTCATAATAAGTTACAAATTGGCACCTATAACTTGCACGATATATAAAGCCCGACAAATCTTTTCACATTCGCCTCAAATTTTCTATATGAGATGCTTCAACTTGTTGCTGCGGCTGATCAGCTGGTGGAATTGTAACTGTGGATTCCTCTCGAGTCGTCCTATCAATCCATTTCGTGTACAACCGTACTGACGTACAGAACAGTGGCTTCACGATGTTCCGAACGTACCTAGAACACTTCTTCCAAATTGAAACTAGTCCCTGCAAATTCTATAATCAACATTGAACTAGAAGCACTTAAGCTTCTCCTCTTCATGATAGCTAATTACAAACTCATTTGAAATGCGATATATCTTCAAACCACTTTAGATTTTTACAGAAAAAAGTGTCTCTGTCCCCTGACTATCTCTTTAGCTTAGTTTACTCAATCCCCACAAAGTTCCAAAATTTGCGAGAAACTGCGGCTCTAGACACACACTCTCTCTCTTCCTCGATTCGATCTCCTCGCGATTTGGAAATTTGCCAGTTACCTGTTCATACTTCAATATGCGCTTTTCATGTTTATAGTGTGGCCAATTATTTTGACATAGACGCTAGAGAGCGTTTGGGCTTTGACTGGCACTTTTCGCAGATCACGCGGTGAGTCAAAGCAAGATTTAGGGCTTGGGCATACTTTAGGCGACATAAATCGCCGAGCAATCTGGCAAAATTTCAAATGTCTCTGAATCATCATATGTGCAGTTTAAAGCTATGACGCTGTGGGGCATTCCATCATCTCAGGAGCTTACACCATACAGAGATTATTTGTGGCATTTGTGAAGATACCTGGCAATCTGCCTGTGGTGGCTGGAATCGCATGAGATATAAAAGCGTAAAATGTATTTTTTCTATTAACCGAAAATCGTAGATTTTCGTGAACGAATTGAAGATTGCCGAGAATTAATTACAATTCCCTCTCCCGAAGAGTCAACGGTTTACCGATGCCTTCCGGCCATGGAGAGGCCAGCTGATTCTTTCATTGTAGCGCGGTGCAGCCCCGGACATCTAACAAGGGAAGGAAGGTTGGTCGAAGTGGCCTTCTAGGATGAGATATAAAGCGTCTTATAGAGCTTGAATTGACGCTGATTATAAATCTGTCTTCGCTATCTGCTGCGGGCTTCCGGGTGAGGAGTTATGAAGGTGTAAGTAAAAAGTAAAATGTAAGTAGTGTAAAAACAATCGTAACATTTTTTCTAGGGCTCAACTAATAATCGGGTCACTCGGTGTATATATATTTTTATCAAATATAGCAACTTGCTACTGCCTCGTTTAAACGTTAAGAAGAAGTTACGTCTGATCATACACTAATCTTGCATTCAAATTTTTACTCACAAAAACCTTCATAACTCCTCGCCCAGAAGCTCGCTGCAGATAGTAAAGGTAGATATGGAGTCAGAGTTTCAAGCCCTACAAGACAGTGTACGTTTCATCTCAAAAAGCCACTTCGACCAACCTTCCTTCCCTTGTAAGGGTATCACAGACCTGTTATCGCTTCATCTCGTCCGGATAAACAACGCTCATCCCTCTAAGAAGTAGACTGGGTGTAAAAATCCAACCACTGTTTAGCAGGCTAGAGTCTCGCCCGTTATCGAATAAGCCAGACAAATCGCTCCACCAACTAATATCGGCCATGCACCACCAACCACCAAAACAGAAAGACTTTCAATCTGTATCTTAAAGGGCAGGGCTCGGCATGCGTTGGTTTGGAAGATTTTTGAGAACGAAGTCCCCCATGACTTCGCAAATTTTCACGAAACCATCACTGACGTAAAAACTAGTAAGAATACAAAAACCACAAAAAACAAAACATTGCAATCACTTCAAAGGAGGCCTTGGCTGACTGGAGCGCCATATTTATCAGTGCGTTTAGTCATACTATTTTGGCTCAGAAAAGAGGAGAGGCAATGCTGTCTTCACTATATGATAGATTTTCAAGCGTTCCAATCGTCCAAATCAAACAGGTCCAAAATTTATGTGAACTCTCAGATATTTATGCTTCGAACCAACCCAGTTGGTTTAATAATAGTCTAGACCACAGATTAGGACACATATGGTTCTGAAACTTTTTACGTAATGTGGTTTGGAGCAATATTGTATACACATATCCCATATCCCGTGTCATCTGATTGCTTGTGCGTTGTAAACAAGCCATTTGTATATATGAGCATCATTTTGAGTTTTGCGCGCTTGATGAGAAAGAACACGTTAGAGCGTGTCATTCCCACATCAGCTGGTTAACATACTTGGTCACTTAAATGTATGTATAGCAGATTTTAGGATACCCTCATTGTTTTTACTCCAAATATGAAACCTAGTTTGACCCCAAACCAGGCGTGTGTACAAATGAATTTTTACAGGTTTTAGCCACGGAGAGATGAAAAGAGTATAGCCCTAGTCAAGTCATCATTTTCGAATTCAAGTCAGGGCTCGACATGAGGTGGCTTTTTCAATTTTTCAAAAACGAAGTCCCTGTAGACATCGGCAGAAAAATACAACATCATCTATGATGCGATCATGGATGGATCAGAACGAATAACGAGAAAATAACGGAACAAAACGTAAAAGCAACTTCGAACAGACGAAAACAACTAAAGATGTTCGTCTTCTCCGAATTGGCGGCATGCTGTGTCCGGCGCGCAATTTGGGGGCTTGGAGCAGGCTTGCCTCCGCCATACAAAATATTTGGAGGGATGTACCTAGGCGAGGAAGAGGGGGTTTAGGGAGATCCAAAAATTCAGTTGTAGGGTTTCTGATGTAGAACAAGGTTATGACAACATGTGGGAAAATTATGTGAAGGAAGAAAAATATATGACTTTTTCTATTTACAGCCATCTCAGGTGGCTGTCTAGGTGGCTGGAAAGCCACCTAACTCCGAAAAAAGTTTGCTACGCCTTCAGTTCACATAATTTTATTGCAATTTTTTGCACATAGTCCTAACTCCCTGTTGCCCATCTACACACCAAAATTGGTGTCATTTCATTTTCTTTTTGAAAACAAGTCTTTTGTTTATTTCGAGGCAGGTTTGAAATCGCGCGCTTAACCGGCGAACATGTTGAAACAAGAGATTTTTGGTTTTTGCAGATCGATAAGGCAGAAATGACAATTTGCGTCTTCCATAGAAGATGGGTGACATAAGGGCAGAACTGCGTGGGGGGGCTGGCATTTCCGCTATTCTAAAACGATATCCAGCTTGCCCCGTAAGCAACCTGTGCCGAGCCCTGATTCAAGTTCATCTGTGATTTGTCAAAGAGGGTCACTCCGCCAACCGAAAACCGGAAATGACTATTTATCGACGGGCAAAAGCATCAGAAGAGGGCAAAACAGGTTTTCGCAGAATGCAGTACGCGACCAGGTCGGTTTTGAAGTTTGTTCCTCTATTTACTTATTTGTTTATTTATTCACTACGCCCCTATTGAAAACACTTGAAACGATTTTCACTGAAAATAAAGGCGCTAGACTTTGATTTTTTGTTTTTTGTTCCACGAAAATGGGTGTTAATTACATAAAAAGGTGTAAGAAAACAACTGCGTCGAAATCTGTAATTGTTCCCAAGACAACTGGGTGAATCAAAAGTTTAACAATTGAATTTCTTATCTTGCCCCGCTACAAAAACTTTAGAGGAAGTGTTTGTATCTATTTCTTACCAGCTATCACTGCTTTCCAAACATTGGCAAAAAATTCTATCTGCTTCCTCCCGGTCTAGGTGAAGGCCATCAACCAATGCATCGTGTTCTATGCAGCATCTGTCAACTCCTAGATAATAAATTCTGTATAATCTAAAATCTTCATATGAATTTACTCACCCACAACATCAGATGGAAACGCAATCATGTAGGATATTGCGCTGCTAACAGGACCAATACCACATTTCCAAGCTTCTGTTTCGAATATCTGTGCAGCCAACAATAGCGAGGCAAATCGTACTTGCATCTGTAAAGACATCTGAAGAATTCTTGACGACATTGATAGTGTTGCACGCGTTATCGCGAGTCACTGCAAAAGTACAAGTGACGTACATTTCCGTAAAACCGCTTCCTTCATCAAATTATATTAATACCATTCCCTTTATAGAATTTGATAGCGAATTGTGCAATTAATTATGCAGGCGTTAAAATGAATTCAGTGTTGGCTTGGAATGAGTATCAAAATTTTGAAAAATCATAAATCTGCATGTTGGAAGTAAAAATATTTGCATTCAGCAGTGCTTCAAAGATAAAAATTAATACTGGCATAGCATCCCGATAGAGGTGATTAAGGGAATCACTTGAATCGCATCCTTTTGGATCGCACGATCGACCGCAAAAAAAGTCAAAATCTCCAGTAATTGATTTTATATTTGCACAGTACTTATCTATGGGAAAAATCTGTGCTCATTGGATATTCCCGATACTTGTTGAATTTTCACACTCATTTCTTATTTCTTATTTTTATTTCTGTTTGAGATAGAAACGGTTTTGTGAAGTTTTTCGAACGAAATTTCTCAGTTCTTGTGCAAGACGTATAACCTAACAATTGTAATGCAAGTAGTGGTGGACCGGAGAGGGGGGGGGGAGGGCTGACCCCAAGGATGGAAGGCGGGATATTCAAAAGCCTCCCGTGTGTTATAAAGTTGTGCAAGGGACTTGCTGAAATTGCAAGATAAAAGATGTTTATCGAAAATTCTTGGAAAATTAAACTAGCCTTGGAAAAATTTCTTTTGAGCGGCTGCTGCCACGCTGTTGCGAAAAATTTTTGTCACGCGTATCCCCCTCTGTATATCGCAACGATACAAGAAAATATACTAATACTAAAATGTAATATACAAATTGTCTCGTTCGTTAGCGTTTTGAACTCATAGAATAACGTTAGTCAAACCATCTCTATAGCAAGTATCAATAACTTTATTTTCTATTTATCTAAATATTTAAGCGCCCTTAGACGCTCTCATGATTGAAGTGGTTAGTAAGTTCTATACCATTTCTCATGAAGAGAAAATCTGATGAAAGAACATTAAAAGAGCAATGTTACAACGTTGAAAATGAAAATCGTGATCAACATCTTTGCCAAATGGGTATTACAGGTCATCAATCAGTAGAAAAATCACATTTATTTTGATGAATGCCGCTAGCACGTTGCGAGTATTACAGCAAGTTATTACCCTCTATAAACTAGATATAATTTGAAAGTTACTGCGAGCTAAAGGACTATAGTCCGAATCTCAACGACACTACGAAACTGGTACGTCCTCGCTTTTACACAAAGACTTGATTTTACACTAGGGATGGCAGAGTCGCAGTGAACAAGAAAAATAGCCCTGAATTTTCGTTTCCGGACCTACTAACTATTGCCAAGAATTTATAGCGACCTTGACAAGTCATATTACTTCAGATGAAACCGGTACTTACTATTAAGTGCTTTGCTATGACTCATAACAGATACCCACCTACTCTTAACTAAGAATGCTGGTGAAGAAGTGTTTGCAGAAAACTTGGAAGTGATTTTTAAACAAGCAACTAACTAGTTTGAACTTACGAAAGCACTCAGCTTTGGAGGAATGGCAGACATGACTTTTTCAGCTTTCCACGTGCATTCCTAGGATGCAAAAGTAAAGGTTAGAGTAAAGGTTAGGTTAGGTTTTTCAAAACTGTAGCTGTGCCTGTCACCCTGGAGCAAAAATCAGTCTATGCGAAGCTAGATTACTTGAAATTTCCACAAAATTTATGCTTCTATACATGAAAATGCATCAAAATGTGATATGAACATCGTTTCTAAGTGACTAAACTTTCCTAAGCGTTACTAATTGTTAAAATACAGCAATAAGTCAGAATACCACGGCAAAGATGGCTTATTAAAGCTGGAATGAAACAGGATAAATAAAATAGAATGGAAGAAACGTTCAACTCTAAACGAGATTTATGTAGATCATTCCGCAAATTTTAGAAGATACATTTGTCACTTCCAGGCATGAGAGAAACTTCTTCCACAGAAAAAAGTTCCTGTATGGAATCAGTGTCAATGTAAGGCGGAAGAAAAGATACGGAATAAAGCGAGTAAGACAAAAATCAAAAATTTTGTCATTTGCTAGAGGATATATGAAATCATAAGGCTTTCAGCAGGACTTGTACTACTTTACTGACTTTACTTGTAAAATATAGAAGCTTAATGAAAGCAAAGTCAAAACTTTAGTCAAGGTATTAAATTGATATGAGCTGGATGATAGGTGTAATGTTGATTTCATGCACGAGATGAGGTGCATCTTCCTCGCAAGGGCTTATAGGCAAAACAAATACGAACGAATGCTTACACAACGTTGAAATCAAGATGTTCCAGGCTAATTGACCAGCTTTTCCTTTGTTTGGTTGTTTTGTTTGTCTGCTTCTATTTTCAATCGCACCATAACCAAGCAAAATTGAGAAATTCAACAGCATTCTGATTTAAAAGACGTGCATTAGAGCTCAAATTTGCACTCGAAAAAAAGCACTTGAACCAGGAGAGATGTAAAGGTGTCGGACTTCTTTCAGCACTCGCTACTGTTTACGCACAAAAAGAAAAAATTGACGTTCTAGCGTCTAAGCTCAGCCTCCATGTGTACACTCTACCAAAGAAACACGAGAAGTTCAACACCAAAGGTGAAATTTTTTAGTGGGAACGTCGAACATTTGGCGCTGGAGATTTTTCAAAAGCTCCAAAATGAATTATTGTACCGCCTAGTTTTTACACATGTTCAAAGCTGAAGTTCTTGAATAGTACTTCTTTGGTGATAAAAGTGATCATTACGTCTCATCAATCTTTCGGAGTTGCAGAACTTTGCAAAAGACAAAGAAAGAAAAAGAATTGGATCAGAGCATTAAACGAAGTAAATTGGTCATCTGTACGAAAAGGAGAGATTCATATAAGAGGGACTGTGAAAAACTCCAATGAAGATTTACACAGTCACGAAAATTTCGTACCTGAACGAGTCATTCGACAGAACATCTCTAATAAATATAATACGTCAACTGCCAAACTAGTTTGGACACTGTTGAAATTTGAATCCATAAGAGGAGTCACCACGTTCCATTAGACTAAATCATTCAGTGAAAGAAAAAATTCTAGTTTTTGCTGTAGCACAAAAATTGCTGACTTTACTGAAGCATCACAAAACTGGAACAAAACATAAAGACTATTCCGCGTGATACTGTTTACATTCGTTGACTCAACTATCATAATTATGCACGGAGGTTTTTTTTTTGCAACAGAACCCTCCTCACATCTGGTAAAAATAAAAGACAAGGCAAGGGGGAATTAAACCATGAGAAAAATTGGGGAGTAATCAGACATACAACAAATTTTGCTTGAGCTAAAATCGTAGTTCACATTATTATAACATGCAATGGAAAATGAAGAAAATTAGACAAATGAGATTTTGGCTCACTTCTAATTCCATAGTTTGGTGCAGAATCCATGGTTAGGGCGAAAAGGAAGTAGTGCTTTGTAATGGGTACAAAAACAGATAGCTAATTCACTTTCGAAGTGTAGTTCACCATGTTTGACAATGGCCACTTCAAGTGGGTGGCTCAATATTGGAACCCTCAGCTGCTAAAACTTTGCACAGGGGTTGTTTGACACGGTAATCATAAATCTACATCATGCTTGTTAGACCATGTCACATCATGCTTATGGTAAGGAAACGATAATGCTGGAGGGAGGGGGGGGGGTGGGTATTGGGACAGGACTCACGAGGGGGGGGGGGGGGAGGTGGTCGCATCCAGTGGTTGTGTGCCACACCTCTTGCTCGACCCTGGTATGAACCGAGACTTTTGATGGTGGCTCGAATAAATGTTAGAATCTACCCATGGTTCTCAAATAACCTAAACTTAACATTTTTCAAAAGTTTCATTTCTGACTTTTGGGAGAGTCGCATTAATGCTGGATAGAGTAAACGAAGTGCAAGTATTTCGTAACATGATTTCTATCAAGCACCTACGCGTTCATCGCTAGTAAATATCAAAATTCGCATTTTCCGGGTGCAGCTTGAGGCGCTTTGAAAACCTGAGTTACGACAATTTTCTAACCGAAGACTTCACAAATTGGGAAGGAACAAGTATCTGAAAGAGGAGAAAAAGCTGCATTGAAAGAAACCCTAGTAGTGGCAAGCCGTTTGGGGTTATAGTTTGACATTTAAATATAGAATTTGATAGCCCAAAAACCATTTCAAAAATCAGCCAACAAAAAAAAGGTCCATCATACTGCACTTTGTTTACCCTATCTAACTGTCATCAATGCTTTTCCACAAAACTGAAACAAGTTTCAAGAATCAGTTAAAATAAGGGTACGTGAAAAATGTTGGTGAGTCCCGACGCCTATTCGAAGGACCGTTAAAAATCTCAAAACAAAAACATCACAGCTAGAAAGGGGAAGGTTTTCTGCATCGAAGAATGTTCAGAGTTTTTGTGTATCCTCACTCCAAACGATTTGATTATACATAGGTCAGAAAAACGGCACGAACTCTTGAACCGATCTAATAAGCCCTAAGTTGAGCTACTGGGTTGGCACAAAATTCTGTCGCACCAATTACAGAAATTCATAAACTCTGATTTTTTCAAAGATTTGCTCGCTTTTAGGCTTGTCTGGAAGAGCAGATTAAGACATGACCTTTATAGCAGTATTTTAGCGGATTTATACTGAGCAAATATAGCATAGATAGAAATGGTAGAAGTAATTTCCATTCAAATTTTTCTGGTCCCAAAAAATTTGAAACTTGCAATAAAAACCGGAGCAATCTTTCATTAGTTTTCAGTACCCGCTCTTTCTTAAGCTTTGTGCTGATTGAATGTCTCAATGAGAAGTTGTTATTTCGGAAATGCCAAAAAAATAATTAAGAAAACTACTTTGATTTGAATTTTTTGTACTTAGTCGTTTAAAACCGGGACAGTCCGTACTATAGGTCTTATTACTTGCTCTTTCTGACTGAGCAAAATTTGATTGAACGTCCCCATG